CGAGGTAATTGGCGACGATGTTAACGGTACCACGGCCCTCGTAGAACATGGTGCGCCCATGGGAAGGAGGCACTTCTGGATACGGAAGGCCAGTTGGTCCTCGGTGAGCGAGCTGTAGTCCTCTTCGGCGTCATCGCCGTCGCCGCTGGCTGAGGCGGTGGCATTCTCGGCGGCCGCTGCTTGGCCATGGCCACGCTACGGTTGCGGTCCTTGGCCTGGTTCACGAGCAGCTGGCGCGCCTCCTTCTCGTACTGCGGGATGGTGAGGTTGACCGAGTCGATGTACCTGTACGACGTGAGGTCCTCCTGGTTGTCCGCTCGGACGAAGAGCGCCTTCATGACCGACGAGGGCGGAGTCGGCGGATACACGCGTGCGGTATCGAGCACATACAGGCGACCGTCCTTGCCCGCATGCCCTTTTGTGGAGACCGTTAGTGTGCGTGGTGTGTGCGTGCGTGCGTGCGTGCGTGTGCATGTGCATGTGCGTGTGTGCGTGCGTGGTTCCTACCCTCAATGTCGCCGGGACCGTAGATCTTCTTGGGGCTGTGGAAGCCAACAACATGTCCCTTGATGCCGAGGAACTCGGCTGCTTCCTTCATCAGCAGGTTCATCTTTTTGTTGTCCGTGTGCACGGTTTGCGCGCCGTCAGCGCTACCGTAGATGAGCGTGTCCTGTTCGTGAACGAACCGCACAGTCGAAAAGTGAGCTCACCATCTCCCAACACAGTTTTTGTCAGAAAGAGGGAAGCGTGCCTTGGCCAACGGCAGCACAGAGGTGGCAATGAGACGATAGCCCCTGAGCATTAAGGTGGCAGGTGACGTCAGCTACCACGAGGGGCGGAGAAAAAAAAGGGAGCGGGCGTACTTGTAGTCGATCAGGATCATGAGTGGTACGTGTAGGTCGCGCTTCTCTTTTTCGTTGATAAACTTGTAGTAGGCGCGCAGTCCATTCAGCTCAAGTCCCGCAGACTTCATAGCGAACTCTGTGAGCAGCGTACGCGAGTGAGCATTCTACCCAGGCAGCAGGCAAGCCGCCGACAGTGCTGCAGTGTGGTAAAGGATTGGGTGAACTCTACCATCGCCTCCGTAGTAGCCGTGCAAGTCGAAGCAGAACTTGAAGAATATGTTTTCGAACAGGAACCTGAGGCGAAATGACACGCGATTAGCAAGGATGAGCGAAGATAAGG